AAGACATTTAAATAAGTATGTTAAAACAATTGGTGAGATGAAAAAGAAAGGGGTGAATTCCATAGGGCAAGAATGGGACATTATGGGGGAAAATTTTTTAAAACTAAGCTAAATTAATGTAAGCAAAGGCAGATTTAGGAGTAGAGATAATTTACCCAAGGTCATACAAGGAGTAAAAGATAGATTCAACATTTCAACTATGGGAGTCCAGCCTTTCAGGACTATACTATTCTGTCCAAAAGTTTTTTTACACTGTAGGAACATACCCAAAATACCAACAATACTTTTATCTCTGTATTTTCATCTTTCGAAAGAGATGGAATTATGAATGCTTTTTGTTTTCTTCACGTTTTAAGTTTTTAAAATTAACACATAACCATTGTGATACAGTGAGAAGTATTTTTTCTTTGTTGTAACAATGGCTTAAGAATTAAATTAGTTTCTATTAATTTTGATTCATATATAATTGTATTAGACCCACTAGTCTTAGAAATTAGCCCAAGAATATAACCTTACTCTCTTTACAGCCCATTCAAAACTTCAACTTGTAGAAATTCATATATCTAAGTAGTTGTATTTAATTTATTTTTCTAGGTATGCTAGATCACAATTTGGACAAAGATCTCAGAGAACCAGATGCTAGGAACCACCAGGTGTCTCTTACATGATAATTTTTACAAAAACGAACTTTGGAATTTCTCCATTAATTTTATATTGAGATATAAGGAAATAATCTTACAAAATGCATTTCTACATTTAGAGTGTACTTTATAGCTTGCCTACTAGGTTATTGTGTGTGTGTCTGCGTGTATGAGAGAGAAAAAGAAAGGGAGAGAGAGAGGGAGGTGTTAAGATTTACTTGATGGTGTGGTTTAGTACTAACTAACTAACTATTTAGTTTAAATTTCTTCCAGGTTTAAATATCTGGGGTTTCTCCAAAGCAAATTGTCTTATTTGTTTGCTTTTCTCTTTTTCCAGGTACTCGGGATCTTGTAATTGATTATTTCTTCCTTTTTGAGTTAGTTATCTTGAAAGCTCAGGGACAAATTGGGAGTTATGTTAGTAATACAATAGGCTTTATGGCATGATTTCCATAAGCCACCAGATTTATTGCTTTTTCTCATTCTTATTTTTCTTTGATTTCCATTATCTTTTTTATTAATATTTTCCAGTGGTACTATATCCACATAACTTATATAAAATCCCTTTAAGAGCAGCAAATCAGCATGTATGTGTAGTATTAAACTTCATCTGATAGTATTTTTCGTTATCACATTTTTTCTAAAATAGTGCTTCTTTGCAGTGAATGGTACTTCTTTTTCACCACAGGTGAGATTAACTTTAAAGATCAAAAGATTTTCTGACTTCAAAGATCATCTGAAGCATCCTTTTATCTCTAGAATTTTACCCCCAAATTGTTACAGATCAACAGCCATGTTTTTGCTGATGTTTATGTTTTGATAGATGACGGATGTTACCTATTAGCTATACATAAGGACACTCACCTAGGGATAATAAGATCAAAGAAAAATTATACCCGATGGAGTTAAACAGGCAAGAAAGATTGTATTCAAGTTTACTGCAATAGGGGTCAAGACTAGATTAACTGGAGAGGGAGACTGAACCCAACTCTGCTGGATCAAAAGGCAGGAGGGTTTTTAAGCACTTGGGGTGAGGAAGGGGGAAGGTACTGGAGGATTCTGGGGATAGGTTGGTGAATGGGATCTGTAAATGCTAGTTGGTACTTTTTGAAGTTAAGTTCCTACTCTCTCACAGAGATTGGATGACAGGGACACTATCTTGTTTGATGACCACACTTCAAGGGGATGGCTACCAGGTCCTTGAGAAAGATATTTCTGGGTTGTAAAACTCACAAGGGGCTGGGAGGTGATCTAGATCTCAAAGGAACAGGACAGAGGAAGAAATTGCAATTACAAGCTTTCTAAAGTAAACGTTCTAAGGAAAGGAAGGTCAGGCGTCTAAAGTCAGGAAAAAACCTGTCTAAAGTTTAGTAAAGCTAGGGGGAAACTTAGGCCATCTCGATGAGTAGCCAATCTATCTCAGTAGACAACACTATATTAGTTTTACCATATATTTGGACCCATAGAAGGAAGTAGTAGCTTGGTCTTTTCAAAGATATACTTTAATATTTAGAGCATACATTTTAAGGATAGTGCGATGATTTACATGTGGCATTATCCCATCCCTCTCTATAGTTGTTCTATCTTCCTCCCAAGTGGTCAAAACCTACTCTTAGCTCTACTGAGATTTCCTGAGTCTATCTTCGGTCACCACTACTCACACTTGGTCTCAGGTAGTCACTGCATCTGAAGCTTCAGTTGCTAAATTTACCTAAATTGACAATTTTATATCCAAGACATTCAAGCAGCCTTTTCAGGGTTGTTCTGAGAAATGAAATGCACATGCATGGTCCCTGGAAAATAATAGTTAAGAGGTGTGTTTTTCATTGGTTTAATCTTTTACAAAATTTTTTTCAACTCTTCTTACTAGCCCTACGACCCTTCTTTTTCTTGTTACAGGCTTTCATCTTGTTTCCTTGTCTCCCACCCAGCATCTCTGCTAATAGCAACACGCTCATCTCTGTGCCCATGAGCCCAGCAGTAACACTATCTTTGCTCTCCTAATCTGCCCCTAGCTCTGCCAACTTGTACACACACACATCCCAGTTCTGATTCCCTCCTACAATTCTACACTCCTTAGCACTGAGGAAGGAAAGATAGTCCAGTCTCATGAGTTACAACAGTAGAATCATTCCTGGCAACTGTAGATTAACAGAGGTACTGTCGGGTCCCTGGTGCATCCTACACCTGAACAAACACTCACAGAGTCCTGGGATTCTGACAGTAAAGAGAAGACAAAGGAAGGCAGACACAAGACAGAAAAAAACTACAAAATCAACGATGGTACCAAGGAAACAGGTGGAGAAACAGAATGAGAAGTAGCTTAAAAACTAAAAGTAGGAGAGAGGTTTTGTTTGTGTTTTATTCTGTTTTGTTTTGCTTTCAAGAATTCAAGGCTTGGAAAGTTCCAGCATGAAAGAAAGTGGAGGGACAGTACTTGGTGATATTTGCCTTGGGGAAGCACAGGAGAATGGACATTCTAATAGGAAGAGACTATAAAGCTCCCAACAATAAAGCATCTAAATAGTTTTCCCCCTTTTTTTTCAGGTCTCCACTTCTATACATGCCTATTGGCAAAATAACTCAATCCTTGGTTTACTGAACAAAGTGAGGCTCTTGAAGACATTTCTGTCTGCCTAAATCCCTTCTCCAATCTGTTCTTGTACCTATTCTCTTCAACATACCTCCCATTTCAAAGGAATATCTTACCCAGTTATTTGAGGGGTATTCCTCAAATCTCTTTCCTCCTTTATTCCTTTTCTTTTTCTTCAACTTTCTCTTCCTATAATTAGCATACTTTCTCTTTAGAAGCAATATCCACTATGTGCTCAGCAGAGTAAAAAAATGTTTGTCGGCCGAATACATATAGCAACTCTGTTCTAAATATTCGAGAAGCTATTACTATCATCTTGTATAATGTGCACTAAGAAGAATTTAATGTATGTAAAATAAGAATGATAGAATAATGGGAGTAAATACTAAGTACACGGGAACAATGTCACATTACTTGTGCATACTCTGCCATGACAATAACTTCATGAACGTTTTATAATAAAAGATAAACTGAATAATGACCCAAATAAAATTTTAATGTTCTTTCATTTTAAGTCTATTCAGTGCTTATTATGCCTAGTCTTTTAAAAGAATGAAAAAGTACTTTCCATTATTCATAAGAGAATTACATTATTGTGAATACTATTGTGCAATTATTCCACACTCTTCTGTGATACTCAAGCAGTTCCAAATGGTCAATAGAAAATAGGATTTTGAATGATGAGGAAGTCACATAACAATAAGCAGGGATGGTTCCGAGAGAATATTCATTACTAGGAGACAATGAAAATTTGTTTATGGAAGAGTTGGTCACAGAGTCAAAACTGGCATTTTCCCATGAAATCAGTATATTTCTCCCATTAAACTTTTAATGACTTGGATATAATGCATATTTAATTCATGGATCACTGCTGCAATATTGTGTCAGTATGTACTTAGGGAGTCTTCAATGTATGGATTGCTGCAGTGACATCCTGTAATGGTCTCTCATCTATCAAGTTAATGCATATTATCATAGAACACTAACACACGGGTTATTGATAAGATACTCCACAACCTATACTTTACAAGGAATTGCTGGCAAGCCCTTAAAAATTATTAGTAATAAAATTAACAAAAAGCCGGGCTCAGTGGCTCAGCCTGTAATCCCGTGCCTTGGGAGGCTGAGGTGAGTGGATTGCCTAAGCCCGTGGGTTCGAGACCCGCCTGGGCAACTTGGCGAGACCTCATCTCTATAATAAATCAAAAAATTAGCCAGGCATGGTAGCGCGCGCCTGTAGTTCCCGCTACTTGGAAGGCTGGGGCGGAGGGATCGCCGGAGCCTAGCAGGTGAGGCTGTGGTGGCCGGGAGCGGCCACTGCACTCCAGTCTGGGCAACAGAGTGAGACTCCAACTCAAAAAAAAAAAATTAACAAAAAACAGAATTAGTTGCTAAGATGTTTTAGAAAAAGTATTCATAAAACATGAGCTTTCTCTAATTTCCCTCTATGCTTACCTAAGTGACCCTTGATTGTATCCTAAATTCTATTTTATTGTAATGTATATTTAACTCTGTTGCTTCTTTTGTCAATTAACGTGGATCATTTTCTTAGATTGTTTTATAGAAATAAACTGATATGGGTTGAGTAACTAGGAAGTGGGAGGCCTGGTGAATTAAATACTCCAAGATGACTATATGTGGTAAACTGAGTTTAATGCCCATCAACCCTCCTCCAGGCAATGGCAAAAATTCTACTCTATATTAAGCTGAGAATTTCTGCTGGCATATCATTATTATTAAAAGATATTCACGAGGAGGGAGGGGAAGGGGGCGGGTAGTTGCCTGCAGGAGGCAGCCAATGGTCATGTGACCGGAAGGGCTCCTGACGGACGCCGTCCCTCCTTGGCACGGCCAGAGCGCCCGGCCCGACCCGAGCCATGGGGTGCTGCTACAGCAGCGAGAACGAGGACTCGGACCAGGACCGAGAGGAGCAGAAGCTGCTGCTGGACCCTAGCAGCCCTCCAACCAAAGCCCTCAATGGAGCTGAACCCAACTACCACAGCCTGCCTTCCGCTCGCACAGATGAGCAGGCCCTGCTCTCCTCCATCCTCGCCAAGACAGCCAGCAACATCATCGATGTGTCTGCTGCAGACTCCCAGGGCATGGAACAGCATGAGTACATGGACCGAGCAAGGCAGTACAGCACCCGCCTGGCTGTGCTGAGTAGCAGCGTGACCCATTGGAAGAAGCTGCCACCGCTGCCACCTCTCACCAGTCAGCCCCACCGAGTGCTGGCCAGCGAGCCCATCCCCTTCTCCGACTTGCAGCAGGTCTCCAGGATAGCTGCTTACGCCTACAGTGCACTTTCTCAGATCCGTGTGGACGCAAAAGAGGAGCTGGTTGTACAGTTTGGGATCCCGTGAAGAGAGGGGTCCTGGGACAGCTCTTCTCCTCTCTTCACCCTGTCTCCACCCTGCCTCCCCTGGCCCCCAGCCTCACTGCGGCTTATACAGTACCCTAACCTGCTACTAATCACAGCGAAGAATGTGGAGGAGGAGGAGAAGAGCAAGACTAGAAACCTGAACAAGTGAGGATGGTGCAAGGGAGGGTAGAACCATTTGGGACTGGCCTTTGAAGACCTGGCCAGGGGTGGGCTGGGGCCAGAAGGACAGGGCCTGGTATGTCTTCACAGTCATTGGGAAGATGGAGATACCACTTTGGAGGAGTGATCACCAGGAGACCTAGGGGGATCCCCTACCTACCCTTTCTCTTGGCCTCAGAGTCATTCCTGCACCCTTCTCCCTGATTTGGTGCTCACACGCACCTCACTAGGGTTTGTGACCAGGGTCTAGAATGAGCTTGAATTTGAATGAATTGAGTTTGTATTTCTAGCACCCTGGGTTTTTATATGTTTGGTCTTTTTTTCTTTTTGTTTTGGTTTGTCACCCTCGATAAAGGAAGTATATTCATCTGTAAAAAAAAAAAAAAAAAGATATTCATGAGCCTCCTTTTTATACAGAAAGTACAGCAAAGACTCTATTTGATAATGCAGTCGCGCATTTTAAATTCCTCATAAAGTTAAATTCAGCCTGTTCTCAATTGATAGTTATTCAAGAAAAAAAGTTTACATTATTTTTTATTTATTTATTTTTTTGAGTTGGAGTCTCACTCTGTCGCCCAGACTGGAGTGCAGTGGTTGCTCCCGGCCACCACAGCCTCGACCTGCTGGGCTCCAGCGATCCCTTCGCCTCAGCCTTCCAAGTAGCTGGAATCACAGGCCTGCTCTACCACACCCGACTGATTTTTTGATTTACTGCAGAGATGAGGTTCACTGCCCAGGTGGGTCTTGAACCCGTGGGCTCAGGCAATCCACTCACCTCAGCCTCCCAAAGGCGAGGGATTATAGGCTGAGCCACCGAGTCCCGGCTAAGTTTACATTATTAAAAATGGCAATCAATAAGTCATAAAGATATGTATAAGACATATATAACACTCCTCTCACTTGTTTTCACTCATTTGTATCTGACTCTTATTTCATGTTTATAAGACAAAATCTATATTACTCTTATTCATTAATAAAAACAAAAGAACAAACATGATAAAAAGAGAACAAACAACTCATTCATACAATAACACAGACGGATCTAAGATGAATTTTTAAGTAAAAGGAGAAATAAGTGAAACACAAAAGTCTACATATTTGTGGTTCTCTGTATATGACATTCTGACAAAGGTAAGACTAAAAGGATGAAAAACAGATTGGTGGTTGCTAGAGGCTAGGTGTGAGAAAGGGGTGGGATACAAACAGGATGAGCAAAAAATGAGATGATCAAATACTTATCTTTTTCTTTTTTTGAGTCAGGGTCTCAGTCAGTTGGACAGGTTGAAGTGCAGTGGCATGATCATAGCTTACCACAGCCTCTATCTGCTGGGCTCAGGCAACCCTTTTGACTCAGCCTTCCAAGTTGCTGGGATTACAGGTGTGCACCACCGTGTACAAATTTTTGTTGTTGCTGTGTTTTTACAGATAAAATCCTGCTATGTTGCCCAGACCGTCTTGAACTCTTGGGCTCAAGTCATCCTCCCACCTTGGCCTCCAAAAGTGCTGGCATCGTAGACATGAGCCACAAAACCCTGCCTAATTTTGTATAATTATTATAGTGGTGGAAACATTATGCATTTTCCAAAAAAACACAGAACTTCCATCTGTAAAGGGAGGTAGTGGGATCTAGGAAGAACCATCGGGATGAGAAAGCTGATGCATATAAAACTTAAATAATATGGTCCTGTACACACAGGTAATAAGTGCAAGAACTTGGATTCTACCTTATTGGAAAAAACCTACTTCGTAAATCAAAATCCTCATATCATAACCCATTTATAAACTAATTTGATATTATAAACTATATTACCTGAAAACTCTTATTCAAGTCTTCCTTTGTCTTTAACATTTTGTACACTGCTGAAAATTACATTTGTCTCAACTTTGTTTTTACTTACAGAAAAAAAATTCCCTAAATTCTATTCATTTCAGAACATCCCTACTACTATTACCATTCACTTTATAGATACACATGTATATGTGTGGTTTTTAAATATTTTTATATATTTATTTATATTTGTACTAACCGTACTCATACACTATATGTTTTGGTATCTCAGAAGTTCTGCATTTTTTTTTTTTGCTTCAGTTAGATGCTTACTTGGTTTGACCTTGAATCCTATAATCCAAGTATCAGCAAACAATTTCTATAAAGGACCAGGAAGGAAATATTTTCAGTTTTATGGGCCACAGTTTTATTTGTACCTACTCAAATACTGCCATTGTAGGCAGCCATAGACAGAAGTGAAGGGACATTGGAAAACTTGGCCCACTGGGCTTAGATTGGCAGGTCCAATCATAAACCTTAATATACATAACCCACCTTACATATAATGAAAAGAC